GTGTTAGAGAGTAAAATAATAGCTATAAAATGGTTAAAAAATCATTCAAGTCGTACATATCCTTATGAAGTTACAAGCGTTTAACCACACAGCTGTTTAAAGAACAATATATGAGAAATTAACCGTCAAAGTTTATGATTTCAGGCATTTCTCATGCAGAAACTATCTTTAAATCCTTAAAAAGTATTGTTTTAACATTGAAAATGGGGAAAATAACAGCATAGAATGATGTGTAGATATATAAAGGTTAGCTTAATGCAATAAAATAGATTTTTAAAAATTTGACATTCCAGCATGATTTGGCCATTTTCTCTGAAACACGATTTGCAACGAGTGACTGGTTTGGCTTTGCATTAATACATTAAATTAAAGGTATCGACCAAATGAAATTTAAATTGTATACGCAACTGGCTCAAGTGCACTATAAAGAATCCAGTACATCTTTCGAGAGAGAGTAGGGTCATGCCAAGTCGTGTCCGACATTATAAGTAGTACCAAAAATGTATCCACCCTTTAAAATTTTGCGCTCCACCCTTTAAATTTTGTCGACAACATTTTTTTAAATTCCGCCACTCTTTAAAAAAAAAAAAAAAATTTCAGGTGGAGTTCAGTGACTTGAAAAACAACAAAATACAGTTGTAGTCTAGGCCTAAACTGGAATGATGTTTATTTATTGAAAGACGTGTGCGAAGCAACTCAAGAGTCAGTGAATTTCGATTTGGTTTCGTAGTCTGATTTTCGAGAAAAACTTCAGCTACCCGTATTTCTCGACTGAGACGTCAACGGGAGCTATAATTTGTATGGCAAGGAAATGGTGCTACCCTTAATTCGTATTAAGGGAATTTACGCCCACAAACCTTGTAGTTATTAATATTTTGGTTATAATAGAACATTTTTATTTTTTGGTGACGTCACACTCACGCTATAGTTAGCATGCACACGTCATAAGCTAGATTACGTCACCTTTTCCTGGTAAGGCAAACTTTCACGGCGTGCTTTTCTCATGGATAAACAAACACCACTGCTTTGCACATGAATGTCTTGCCTAGCTAGGGCTACAAGAGCCGCATAGTTAGCATATAATACTTAAACAAGGTACGTCTGCAACTGAATTATTCTTAGGCCCTAGTTAATTTTTTTTTTCTTATTTTAATTTATTTCTTTCGAAAGTGTACCTTCAATCACATAGGCCTATAATTGCACTGTCTACTTAGGCCGAGTCATATTATGCCTCATCGTCACCCGCTATACACAGTACATCAGCCCCCCCCCCACCACGCTACAGTACAGACGTTTTCTGGGCAAGAGAACGTGATTGCACCTTTCTTCCAAGGTGTTCATGTAAATTTTCATATTGTTAGCTAACCAGCCGTGTGTTTTCCTTTGTGAAAATGAGTACCGCGGCGTACTCATTTTCACAAAGCATTTGCATCTCCTCTTGGAAAGAGGGAAATTCGAAATAATTGTCTCCATATCGCTAATTAATCACATAATTTAGCTTACACTTATGCATGGGGGAGCACTTAAAATGTACAATAATCATTTCACTACCCGACAAACCCCGAACTTTATTCATGCATTAATAAATAGTTCATCTTGCTGTACTCCAACATCACTGGCGCATGGTAACAACCAACTGGCAGACCATTCCGGTCACGCATTACTCTCCATAACGCAGCACTAGTTCCGTGTCCTCCGGATCTAATAAGTAGTATTCTATTTTTACTAGTCGGTTGTTAATTTTGACAGCTGAACACTGCTTTGTACGGATAATTACAGCGAGCTATTTTTATAGGACAATGGCCTGCGGCCGCAAAACATTTTCGGAAAAAAAACCCCCAAAGATCTGTTTGTGTAAACCTGCCTCATTGATAGATACAGAGATTAGACAGTTTTAATACACAATTTTTTCACTAGCAGAAAATTATTACATTATTGTACAGTATATCATAAAAACATGAGTATTTTTCATGATCAGGACTTCTTGCCAGGTTTTGGTATAGCCCCTGGTGGGGCAGGGCTGAGGCTTGGTACCTAGAATCACAAGTAGGCCATGAAGTAAAAGGTTTGTTTGAAAATGTGTTTTCATACCTCTGCTTCTATCTGGGAACAAGGTGGGTAATGACATTCATAAAATGTGATGCTATCGTCTTCTCCTTCTATCACTTCTCCATTAGCATTGTAGTACCTTTGTGAAGTTACAGGTAGCTGTAAAAAAACAATAAATAATATTCATGAAACCATCATTCATCATAATACGATGATATTGGAAATGACACAATGATATTGGAAATGACGAATGTAGTGAAAAATATGCTAATAATAATGAAAATTATTATTATAAATAATATATTATACAATACATTATTAAATATTTTGAGAAGTGTCCAGGTTATAAGGGCACTAATAAATAATATATTATACAATACATTACAGTATTAAATATTTTGAGAAGTGTCCAGGTTATAAGGGCACTAATAAATAATATATTATACAATATATTATTAAATATTTTGTGTTCAGGTTATAAGGGCACTACACTATATACATGTCAAGCCCATAAACAGTTAAAATTTGTGCATGCTTAGTTTATCGCACCAATGATGTTTTATCACTTATTTTGCATAATATTTTCTAGTGGTGATAAATCAGACTGCGACTATAATTTTTAGTAGCTTTTTACAATGCAACAATTCAATGTACTAGTGGAGATTAAGAGTTATTTTTAGAAAGAAACATAAAAACAAATTGTTTATTTTGCTGGCTAAAACTTGCATTTGTCTATCCTCAAGGTTAGGGTTGGAGTACACCCTCACTGATCACGAAAATGTTTTGTGAACGAATAGGTACAGTATACTACTGGTTAAATAAACAATGCCAAGTAAAAATCACTCTTGTGATAAACAATATTGTATTTTCGTCTTGGTGAGTACTTAGTACAATATGTAAACAAAAACTTAAAGGATTCTTTGAAGACGTGCACTGTAGGCATGCAGCCTCTCCACTCCCACATAGATACTTTTGGATGAACATTTAATTTAATGTTATGTGTAAAAAGATTCATTGCTGCAAACATCTCATTTAAATCCCAATCAATTGTGACTATTATATTGTGTATACATAACAATTTTAGCCATCCTTGGCTGAGGGATTTAAGCTGAAATGTGTCCTACAAAGCCTACAATAAAGACACTCTTTGATCTAGAAAAAATTCCTAATCTTCTTTTGTGAATGAATGGCAGTTTCCTTTTCTAGTACAAATCTCTATCCTTGCCTATACCATGGACCTATTAATAATCTTATTAATAGGTCCATGCCCATACACATAAAACACTGTCCTTTTAATGTATTACTCAAAATTTAAACGAACAAATTAAAAAATATGGTACAGCCTGTACTGGAGCAAATACCAGCAAAGTATTCATATAATTCACAAATAAACGTAAACTGTTATTTTGTTTATTGTATATGTATTAAATCCTTCTTCATTCAAGATCATTCAATTATTTATGTGAATCACCTTAAATCAAAGTGGTATGTGTATCAAACTGCATGAATTATTATTTTTGTGTTAATTGTTATTATCATTATTGATGAATTAATAACTCATCACCTATAACAGAGTGCTATGATTGAAGTCTTACTTACTGAATTTTACGACCAATTAATTGTATAAACAAATCCAAACACATTACATAGAGACGATTAATGTACAATAGTTTAGAACCATGTAAAGAAATTAGATTGGATGCGGTATTCTGAGAAGCAGTGGTGGTGGCGGCTATGATGGTGACGGTAATAATGATGATGGCGATTGAGATGATGATAATAAGCCCGTAATATTATTTCAGTATCGTTAGTAAATTGAGGGGGGGGGGAGAGAGACCAAGGTGGAGTTGAGGGCTCGATGATTAAGTAAGGGGCGCTAGCCGCTAGGTCAGAAAATAAGGGGATATGACGAGACTTTTAACTACTTGAATTTGAACATAATTTTTTTATAAATAATAATAAATGCATTCTTATATAACGCATATCATTAATGTATCTATACACTGCATATTATTAACCCAGGTCATTGGAATTGATGCCTGTGGAACATACTCCACAACTGCTGCGTCAGCGCACAATTGACACAATGTCTACCAGGTACCCATTTATACACCTGGGTGGAGAAAGACAATGTGGATATGTCTTGCCTAAGGACACAAGCCAATGGACAGCGTAGCGTCTAAACTCCTAACATCAATGTCGAGAGACCAAATCACTACCGCATTGGCCTCAAATGGAGAGGGGGACTGGCGGTACAAGCATTTTGTGGGAGGGCGTGCACTCCTAGATACATCACCGATTCAAGAAAGGTGGACATTGAGTATAATAAGAGACACTACTTTACCTCCTGGAAAGAATCTGTGGGTAGTTGTTGTATTGCAACCCAATACAAGGACTGTTCCCTGTTTTTCTTGAGTGTTTCTAAATCTTTTTCAGACTCTTCTGTAGTAACTAGATGAAGGTTTTCTAATCTATTATCTGAAATATAAATATAGTCCGAGTAAAGTACTATTCACTATATAAAAATACTTATATTACTGAAAAAGTACAATATAGGTACTGTAGTAGATACAGAAGACCAATGTCAGATTGGCCTACATCATGGTCCGCCCCATCCCCCAACTTTTTGGCGGAAAATAATGTCTGCAGATCGGCTCCCTCGCAATTCATATTCCCATTCATCTTACTAGTGGGCCCCCACACTTGGAAAAACTTTCTGCTGGCCCTGTATATATCAAAGTTATCTCAAACAAAAAAAACAATACAGTATTATTACACTACTGTACTGTACAATGCAACCAATGTGCTCAAAATGGTTTTGAATAATCTTTAATACCCCAGAGTGTGAAAAAAAAACGAGCACTCCCTTTCTAGTTTAATTACTGGACCGGTAACTATTTGGGTCCAGTCTGCCTCTGCAGATGGATGGATGAATGAATAGATACAGTAATACTGTACACTACGTGTACTGTATACATACTGTGGATAGGTGGACAGATGCAGTATGACAGGCTTGATACATGATGTAGTTGGTTAGACTATTTTATAGATGTTGGATGGAGATAGCATTAACATCTACATGATTGCAAGTTATACAAATAGGCAAGTTTCAGACCCAGAAATTCATGATTTACCTATTATAAAACATCCAAACTATTCTATTCAAATTTAGCTAATCACAGGACAGAGAATTCAGGATGTGTACTGTATAATGATACGTTAGCCTTGTCCAGACTATCAAATTTTATTTTACAAAAACATGTGACATGCCTAAATATGGTCATGATGACATCACATAAATGAACATATTATATAGTCACATTATGATTATACTGTATATGGGCATACAACAGTTTTTTGAAAATTTGATTGTGTGTATGAGCTTGAGTAGGCCTACTGTCACTTATTACACTTGTAAGTGCCAATATTCAGACTATGTCCACTTACCTACTGTCACAGCATTTTTATGGGCAACTTTAAATCCTGGAGCTATGCCACCACAGTGCTTCTCCCACAGTAGGTCATGAAGGTAACGTCCTGAGCTTCGACCTTTCTGGATATCATATGCATATGCATAGACCTGAGCACCGTTTCCATCCTTATCTATGTCCACTCGTGCCTTGAAAATAAAGAGATGGATGATTAGAGTAAAGGAGAATGCAGTATTCAATGATTACTGCACAGTAACAAGCCCATATATACACATATATTCAAAACAAATTTGGAACACGCTACCAAGGCGATATAAAATCCTGCGCAACTGCTTCTGCTTTCCAGAGTGCTCTGAACTCTTTAGTGTACTCTAAATTTTCTTCTCATTTTTTCCCAACATTTGTTTTTTTCTAGTTTAGATTTCGTCATAACTGTAGGCGTTGTGAATAAAGTACTGGCGGGTCTTGCACCTTAAATTGCCGGTTGCTTTATAAATGTAACATTATTAATACTATAATCTGAATACTGAAAAAACTAAACAAACTAATATACGCCTGTTGGTACTGTCTTACCTCAAAAGCAAATCGATCTACTAAAGAAATATCCTGTTCATCTAGTAATGAATACTTTGTCTGCAAAATTGAAAATACATCATTATTTGACATACAGTATATTTGGGCAAAATTTGATTTAAATATTTGATACTTCAATTAAAGTATTATATTAATTTATTTACATAGCATTTGATTACTACTGTATTATTCCTGTACAGAATGTACTAGAGTTCCTACTGTATATAGAGAGAGTTGCGACATGAGACGCTGCTGGGTAGTCATGAGTGAACGCAAAGCCTATGCTACAGTGTGGCGATTGCAAAAATAATAGACAATTGAAAAAAATAAATAAAAATATAAATAAGAAAATTTTATGTCATTTGATATAGGCCATCAGCTGTAGCTAAAAAAGTGACCAGAAAACAAGTTCCGTTCCAGAATAATGGAGACTACTTTTTGGATGCATATATTGTTAATTCAATCCTTGCTACACATTGTGTTAAAAGTTCTCCGCAATAAAACCTGCAGTTTTTTGTCAGGACACCTCCAAACATGCTGAATATACCCCAAAATAGCCGGTTTTGAGGTCTGATACCAATTATATATACATGCAGTTTTTGCTTGACCAAAATTGCATAGTGCCTTAGCTAGGCGTACAACATCGCATTTGCTCGGCTCATAAAATAGTAGGCGACAGGGCCTAGGCCTTTTCAATGGACAACTTAGAAATTTGTATTCAAATGGGTGTTTGTGGCACGCCTCAGCTAGGGTATAAAATGAGAAATCCAGTGATGTTGGAGTACAGGAAGATGAACTATTTATGTAATGCATGAATAAAGTTCAGGGTTTGTCGGGTAGTGAAATGATTATTGTACATTTTGAGTGCTCCCTCCATGCCTAAGTGTAAGCTAAATTACAGTGATTAATTAGTGAAGATATGGAGACAATTATTTCGAAATTCCCTCTTTCCAAGAGGGGATGCAAATGCTTTGTGAAAATGAGTACGCCGCTTTGTGAAAATGAGTACGCCGCGGTACTCATTTTCACAAAGGAATACACACAATTGGTTAGCTAAGAATATGCAAATGTTACTGTACATGAACACCTGGGAAGGAAGGTGCAATCACGTTCTGTTGCCTAGCAAACGTCTGTACTGCAGCATGGGGGGGGGGCGCTAGACTACTGATGTACTGTGTAGCGGGGGACGATGAGGATTAATAAGACCAGGCCTAGGCCTAAGTAGACAGTGTAATTATATGTGATAGAAAGTACACTTTTGAAAGAAATAAATTAAAATAAGAAAAAAAAATAACTATAAGAATAATTCAGTTGCAGACGTACGTTGTTTAAGTATTATACAATGCTAACAATGCGCCTCTTGTAGCCCTAGCTACTGTAGGGAAGGCATCCATGTGCAAAGCAGTGGTGTTTGTTTATCCATGAAAAAAGCACGCCGGAAAGTTTGCCTTGCCAAGAAAAGGTGACGTATTCTAGCTTATGACGTATGCATGCTATCTATATTGTGAGTGTGACATCACCAAAAAATAAAAATTTTCTATTATAACCAAAATATGAATAACTACAAGGTTTGTGGGCGTAAATTCCCTTAATACGAATTAAGGGTAGCACCATCTCTTTGCCATACAAATTACAGCTCCCACTGACGTCTCAGTCGAGAAATATGGGTAGCTGCTTAAGTTTTTCTCGCAAATCTGACTACGAAACCATATCGAAATTTCACGTTCCACTTCTGACTCCGAGTTGTGCTTCACACATGCCACTGAGGGCGGCGTTCCGGGAAACCTGCATCAAGATGGCAGATAGAGGGCAGCCAGTAGTCACATGACCTGAACCGCTCTTGTCGCAACTCTCTCTACAGTATACTGTATAGCAACTTTAGTATGTACTATTTATAAAATACGCAGTGTCTATGCTTACGTTCAGGCATAAACATTAATCATAGGCTGTGCTTATGCCGATGTATTGAGCATGCGCAGGGCAGCTTGTTACGTACGTCAAAGGTGTAAGCATTATTTAGAGGCTATGCTTATGGTGATGCGATGTCGCAAGCTTACGCTTACGTACGTCAAGGTGTAAGCACTGGTATGTTTAATTTACGCCGATGCGGCGTACAAAGGCGATTCAGTAGCCTACGTCGAAGTGTGAGCATTGGCTATGCGTAGCCTAGGTCCACAAAGTTCTCCAAAAGAACAGACATGATGAATTTAGGCAGGCATTACTACTAATAATCTTGTCAAGTCAAGACAAGAGGTACAGTAAGTAGCCCTTGTCTCGACCTAGTTCTTGCATACACTAGGCCCAGGCTTTTCTTTCCACCACCGAGTACACATAGATTAGAACAACCAGTGTCTGAGCCATTGATGCAGCGTCTGAAATCTGTGTGTGTGTGGGGGAGGGCATGTGACCGGCACGGTAAAAATAATATGGGGATATATGCACTGGGTGGTGCAGGATTTGGCCGACGGGAGGCAGAGGTCCCCGACAAGAGCAAAGTGGGAGTGGTCGGACGCCGCTAAAAGGGCAATTCCACGGTAACTTCTGGACACTTTGACACAAAATTTTAGACTTTATGTGCATACAATATATATAATTTATTCAACAATCAACAAATCACAGTTACACATTGTACTTGCTACTGCTACCTACATTTCCATTGAAAAAAAACTTTAAATATCTACAAGCATATATTAAATATTAATTTTAATATCTCCGGTAACTTCAGGACATGAAATAGGACATAGAGTTTTAACTTATTTACTTAAACATAAAAGTCTGTGAAACTAAGGCATATGCACTTTTTTGATATGGAAAGCATTGAAGAGATATTTAGCTTTAATAGGATATCTTTAATAAAAATATATTATGATGACTTATATAATTATGATGATCATTTTTAAAAATCATGTGGTAACTTCAGGACAGTAACTTCCGGACAAAAGGTTGACATCATAATGATGAATAAATTTTCTTTTAAAAGGGTCTTAAAACATGAACAAATGTTGGATTCTTATCTAATTTGTACTAACAAACATGATTTAATGCTGACTACAGTATTATCAAATGTAATAAAAGCAATTTTTAAAACATTTTTCATATTTTTGTTAATTTATTCCCGATTTGGTCATATTTTACATTTGTATCATGTACCTGTCTCTTATACACATCTAGATGTGTATAAGAGACAGGTGTTACCGTCACAAAGTTACCAAAAAAGTAACGTCAGGACACTTTTTAAATTGCTATAATTTGTAAACGAAATAATTTTTTTTTTTCAATTCATGTTTATGTTGTTCACATATATGCTTATGATTTGAATAATAAATTTTCTTTTATTTTGTTAAGTACTTTTTGAGAAATAAAAAAAAATATTACTTTTTTGGTAACTTCGGGACATTTTATATGGTAGTTCATTGTCAAGTCGCTGTAGCGGAACGAAGTACGCAAAATAAAATAAATTCATGAATATACCACATATAATGTTAATAATTACTAATCCAATCAGTTATGTTGGTAATATATGTTAAAGAGCATAAATTAAACACTCTAAAAGTTGGCCTATTTTATTCATTTTTTTTGGAAAAAATAATATTAATTGTATTTCTTATATAAAATTTAAGTGAGTATAAAAACTTGAAAACTAAGACCATTTCATGAAAGTTCAGAATTTCATCTTTAATTTGATACCAAATTTGGTAGGATACCACTATTTTAAAAATTTAGGTGCCATGTCCTGTTTTGCATGGAATTGCCCAAAAATGTTTCGAAAGTGGTCCCAGGAAACGAAGCCCTCGAAAAAAATATGACATTTAGGAATTTTATAAGCTTACTTAACCGATTTTATATAGTCTACTACAGATGTAGAAATACATATTTTGTTTTCTCCCCGACGAAAGGTTTTTTTTAATTTTTTTTACAGTAATTCCCCCCTCTCTCCCATAGGGCCGCCACTGAGAACAAGAGACCGTACTCCCATAATTATTAGTTAACACACTTTGATTCCACTTATCCAAGGACTCGCCATCATCGTCGTGTAAAAAAAAATTCCTGTTGGTTTGCTCATGCATGTCACCCAGTGACGTATCTAGTAGCCTTGAAATAGGGGAGGTGAAGGGAGAGGGGCTTGATGATCAGTTGAGGGAAGCTAATTCGCAAAATAAGGTGATTTTTAACTACGTGCCAGTGATTTTTGGGGAACGATTGGGGAGGGGTGTGCAAGTAATTTTTGGAGGGTTGTGTGCCCCTTGAGCATCCCCCTACAGTAGATACGCCACTGGTGCTACCTGTAATTGAACTTTAATATATATTGATATGTGGGAGTTTTTCCTGTTTTATTCTGAATGGCAAGTTACTAAGTCAAACAATATTGTACTTCTTGATGTCCTAATTTCCCAGTACTATACATCGTTCTCGTTTCACCTCTTATCGCGGGTGATCTGCAATCTTGAAAAATGACGTCACGCACATTCTGGCACTTCATTGGGTGATGGTGACGTAATGCCATTTACCGTACCTTTAGCAAATTGAAGTAGAAATACGGTACCGTATCTCTAGCCACGGCGTTAATTTTTACAAAGGTCAAAAACATAAATACAATGGTAGAGAAATGCTGAATTGGTGTATACTGCGATTCCAAATAAACAAAAACGTTTACATGTTTAAAGAAAGTACACATTACTGAAATAATCCGTCGGCGAAACATATAGAGGGCCTAGCCTACGCTAGACCGGTTCGCTAGCCTTCTTTGATCGATTGTCACGCCGACTAATGCTAATGGCAATGCTGCGCTGTGATGCCTTCTCCGACAATGACTGGCTTGGCCCTAGGCTAGCCTAGTCTAGCTCTCTAGCCTACACACGTGACACAACAAGATGAAATAATTCCACATCATGTTGAATGAAAGCTACATTTGTTTTCGATAATCATAACTGCATATTCGATAGTTTCAAAAACTACTAAATAAGGTTGTATTGCTCTCTAGTCAGTGCCCATCCTACAACGGTGATTCCCTACAACTAGGCCTTGGCCTAGTGCTTATGTACTAGGCCTAGCCTAATCTAGGCCTACAGCAGCACAACATTTAAAGGGCTTCGTGGATTGATGAAGACAAAGCCAAACAGTATCCACACTGGCTGGCTGTCATGTACTCAATGGCTTAAAAAACAATATCCGTACCTTTCCAGCAGCTCTTCCAAGCCTTACTATTCCAAGCTTGAATGCTGACATGAGTGTTGACCAAAATTTTCAAATCAATGTCTAATATTAGCTTAGAAATCACAAAAAAGACGAGTACTTTTTGACCCTTCGTTTCCTTTCGGATGACACAACTAGCTCCAAGGCGGCAACGTCGATTACACGTGCATATGATAAACAAGTTGATCCAATCAAATGGTGAAATAAAAGATTTGACCTGAATAACTTATTAGAAATAAACATTATGAATATTTATGTCGGCATTGAAGCATGTCATGTCTCGATGAAATACTGTAATATTATGTTCATTAGCGGTATGTACAGCAGCCTACTGCATATTCGCATTACATACAAATCTAATTTAACAATAATGTAATATCAAAGGTAGAAATTAGGTCTACTGTATAACTAATAAGTATAAAACAAACTATTAGTATACCTCCCTGATTTATCTATATAGTGCCGTATTATTATCATTATCATTAAATTTGTTATTATGATATGCATAGGAAAAAAAATTCTCACAAGATTTAAATATAATCCTATTTGTTTCATTTTTTGTTTTGTTTTTGTGTTATTTATTTATTTATTTATGTTTGCAAATCCAATTGTTTGACGATTTATTATATCTGTATACCTTATTATATTATTATTATTATTAGGGCCTATTATTATTATTATTATTATTATTATTATTATTATTATTATTATATGTTTAACGTTATTGAATTGTGGAAATCAACATTGAACTTTGAACCGTATTTAGGGAATAAGAAAAGTGGAATATCAGTCTTGAAATGGGGGTGCTGTTGGGGTTGGGGGTGCGAAGTTGAAGTGGGTGGGGGAAGGTGGCCCGACGATCAGTTCAGGGTTGCCTCGCAAAATAAGGTGATTTTAAGTGATTTTTTACTACTTGCAAGTGATTTGGGGGGGGGGGCGACTAGAGGTGCGATTAATTTTTTTTGGAGGGGCATGCGCCCCCGCACACCCCCTAGATACGCCACTGAATAAGAACCAAAAGGAACAGTACATGTAGGCTTACTGTAAACTTTTAAGGCATTAAACTGCATAGTTGATGACCATTATGACATGTTATAATTTTCAAAAGGTTTATAAAATACTGAAAATATAGTTCAATATCTAAACTGATCATTCTCTGCTCAGTGGCTACAGTTTAGCCGATTGAAGTAGGCTGCTTTCAGATTTTCAAATTTTATTTGGTATCGCTTTAAAATCAGCGGTACAAATCAATTTGATGATGCGTCCTACAAAAAGAAAAAAAAAACATACAGAATAAATCGAAACAATCAAAACAAACATTTACCAAACTAAAGAAATTAACTCCTAATCACTATAAACAAGAAAACTATAAGTAGGTCTACATCAGTTAAATCAATTTCATTTAGGAGACAATAATATTTTGGGATGGGGCATTCATTATTGTGTATCATTTAAGATCTTCTTTTTTCCAAAGATAACTTTTACAAATATTGGTCAAAAATGTGTTCTGCTTCTTGATATTTTGGTGGTTTTCAATTTCATTAGATAGGGTAACATGAAGTTGAAGCTCATTTGATCCGTTTTCAAAGGTATCCCAAAAAATTTGGCATGAACAATACAAGGGTCCCAATGTGTTATTGTACCAACGTTATGTGGATGATATTTTTTGTGTTTTTAATGAAGAAAAGGATGCTCATTTATTTTTTGATTACCTTAACTCCCGCCATCCCAACATTAAATTCACCATGGAAAAAGAAGTAGGGAAAAAGCTTCCTTTCCTGGACGTCTTGGTGTCCAACATTAAGGATATTTGTATGTGCAGGCTGTAATGCTTGTTACGTTGGCGAAACAAGTCGACATTTCTCTACACGCATACGTGAGCACCTAACACTGGATGGAAACTCGCATATATTGAAGCATCTGAAAAGTTCACGTCACTGTAAACAATCAGCCAATGAGGACTGTTTCACAATACTGGACTCCGCCTCTACAACCCAAACTCTAAAAATCAAAGAAGCCTTGCATATTCAGTGGGAGCAGCCCTCACTGAACAAACAGCTTTTTCATGTTAATTTATCTTTGTCATTCTAAATTCATTCCATTCTCCCCTTAGTGGCATTTAAAATACTGCACTCTGATCTTATCTTATCTTTATTTATATTTTGCTTTGTAGTACTGTTACGGTTCATTCCACAAATTTTTTAGCTTGCATACATTGAATTTTAACTCCCCTATATCAATGATTGCCTGCGTGCAATAGATAACTGACGATGGTAGTGGACTGCCGAAACATGTCTTATTGGGGCCGTTAAGGCCATAACTTATTGGATTAAATACAGGCTTTGCCTATGATGAAAATTATCCCAAAAAAATTGTAACCGTTATTACAAAGGTCATCTTTTAATTCCGTAAGTACAATATTTCTAATGTCATTTCTAAAAATCCAGGATATGTTCGCAAACACCATCTAACGTGTTAGCAAGATCCAGATCATTCGCGCTTGCAGAATCTTAAACAAGATAGAATACCGTACGGTAGGCCTACCTGAACTTGTACACGTCATGTAAAAATGAAACAGCGCCCTCAATAAAATTTCATCTACTTTGTAATCAAGTCAAAATAATAAAATCAATATTGCTGCGTAGCACTGTATACATATATATAAGCAAATAATGGTAACAAGAGTGTTCGAATAAATATTATTATTATTATTATTATTATTACGTTACTAAAACCTACCTTAAGGGGAACTTAGACAATGGAGAAATTAGAGAACAATTTAAAAAAAAACGAAGTTAAGCGATTTTTTTTCCGTACGAAACATTTGCATTAAACTCCACTCGGGCCGTCTCGGATCGACCCGACTCAAGTTCGAATACAATACTGAGTTTTTCTTATTTAGGAACAAGAGAGCAGGCAATGTCGTGACGCTCGAGTACCCCGTAAATTCTCGAATAAGCGCCGCTGTCAAATTAGGCATAAGCGCCGTTCTCGAATAAGCGCCACACCAAAATGATTTTTTTCGTTAAGCGCCGCTCTCGAATAACCGCCGCGGCGCTTAATCGAGAGTATATCATAATATTACCCTGTGTGTAAGGACACATGGTTTTAAATTCAATGTATACAGTGTTAAAATAAATAAATAACACAATGAAGACACAAGCATTTCTTATAAACGTTTGTTTACGATGATAGGACCTATGATAGGCTTACTGATCTACGGGAAAACGTGAAATAGGTGACATGGAAACGGGCAAGGAAAGGTGGAAACACGCCAATATTTTCTTATATGCCAGAGATTCGTGTTATTGATTTTATTATGTCCTGTCTAAACTACCAAATTTAATTAGGCCTATTTGACAAAAACATGTACGGTAATATATGCCAAAATTTGGTCATTATAACCATATATTTCCTCCATGTTGTAACATACATCATGACCATTTATATAGGCATATGATGAAAGTTTTTTTGTTATAGGAGAAATTTTGATAGATAGCTGGACGGACAAAGCATTTTGAAGCTTTGTCTATAACTATTAAATTTCATCAAAAAAGCATCATATAAAATTTGATGGAACATACATGAACACGTTCAACTTTTTTTGATAGGCCTACAATTTGGTGATATATGATATGACGTCATCGTACCCACATATGGGCATATCACATTTTTTTGTCACATAAAATTTGATAGTGTAGACAAAGCTTTAGATTATGCATGAGAGAAAAGACAATAAAGAAAAAAAAAATGTTCCAGTCAAGCACACCGCTTGAAGAAATATTGTATAATACTGGTAGGCTTGTGGGAACATTAATTCTAATTTAATTACCGCGATCAATCCTATATTGGAGACGATGTCGCATGTCTCTCGATGGAATCACTGTAGTAAAAGCTAACGCCGAACACTTACATTAGATTCAACTATATTTCAATAATACAGTATTAAAATTAATTTTTCGGCGAATGGTGACCTTACTCAGCTCGAAAGTATGTATGGTATAATCATAATCACATAATAGTAAAAAGCAGAAACAATATCATCAAGTGAAATAAGTATTTGTTATTGGTTCCTGATAATTTTCACAGACGTGTAGGCCTAAGCCTATGAATATGGAACGTTAGTTAATAATGCCCTGTTTTGTGTTTTATTAGAGCTAGTTTTGCGTACCATACTTTAACAGGCTTTAACGTGTCGTTCCACAGGTCTTAGAGTTCATTTTGTTACGCTGATGTTAAGAAGCGCTTTTTGATCATGTCTGGATTAAGTGTTGTTAACTCGTTTTAAATGTCTGAATGTGTTTATTTTATTCAGAGGTTTTGGATAGCATTATCTTTTTTTTTATAGAATACTTAATGGTAGGCCGTCCATACTACGAAAATTTTTTCACCCAATCAGAGCGCAGAATATTAACATAATATATAATTATCAGGCAGGGCCGTAGCTGAAGTTGACGAAGCGTTCAGATGCTTTTTCACCATGATGGTTATGCAACCCCGTAATAGCTTAGGATATGGGTTATTCTTTTTACTGGGTTTTCTCTTAAGCTCTATGGTAACATGGATTAGCAATACCGGTAGGGATTCTATTCTTTCTTCAGATGGAATGTCCAACTGCCATAAGTTGCTCAGGTAAGTCTGAATTTTTCAAACCATGGCATGGAGTGCTTAATTAAAAAAACTGGCTTAGGCCTAAACATATTTATACCGAATTTCATTTTGTTTTGGTTTGGTTATATAAAACAATGCCGTACTGTATTTAAAATAATGCCGTATTTGCATTATACATTTCAACGGCTTATACCTCAACAGATATTATGATAACCGTTTCCTGTAACTTGCTATATAATGATCTGCTAAAATTTAATCAACATGCATGGGCAGCCGGTAGCGTATCGTAGTGTTGAGAAGTACCCTAGCAGATGGCTATGCATAAACATTCTCACAACGATGACCAGCTATTTTATTATTAATTTTATGTTCTGATTCTCAGACGACTCAGACAGCGTCGGCCGACGCAGCCCGACCCGATTTATCGTCGGGGACAGTCTTAAGCCGTCGTGAGAAATATTAAACATGTTTAATATTCTACTACGCGACTATGGGGCAGCTGACTCTGAATGAGTTATAGTAAAATTTTGCTTAAGCTACCCCTGACCATAATTTTTGTTGTACTGTACCTTCTGTAAATGTGTATTGGTCGAATAAATAAATGAAATGACTGCCCCGACGCACACCATCGCGTCTGCGTTTAACTCACACAGACCCTACGCGACAACAAATCGCGTCGGACGCTGTCTGAGTTGGCCTTTATGAATGCGGACCAAATTTTGCCCACATATTACTGATTTATCCAGCTCAAAAGTGTCCGTCAATAAATTGTTGAATCGTGATTGTTATTCGATATTTAATGTACATGTAATAATAATAATAATAATAATGGTCGATTTAAGTAAAAATACTTAAATATGGAATTCGGAGAAAATGAAAATTGTGCAGATCTGTGCTTGCGTTCGGTACGAGAAGAATATGCCAGTCAACCCCCCAGTGCCAAATACAGGTTCTGGAAGACTCAACTTTTTTTTTTATAAGAACATATTTCATAAGAACACTGAGGCTGAAATTGCTTAAAAATTAAAAACAAAATAAAAACAAAGTGGGGCTGAAGTAAAATGTCATGTGAAGTTTGTATTTAAAAAAAAAAAATAGAAAAACCAACAAAACTTACCTGTATCATATTTTCAGTAAGTTTGACCTCTATAATACAGTACAGAAGTCCTAATATACGTTTGTAAAATTATAATTTTCTATATTTGAAAAGTGTGTAAAAATAAGATCAATATATAAACATTTTAAGCCTGAAATCGACAAAAAAAAAAAAATAAGAACACTAAATATGGCCAAAATTTTACTGGTTCTTATAAAAAAAAAGTGTAACTTCAGAAATGTTTTATAATGAATTCGCCTAATTTTAAACTTAAAGTGAGTACAGTACAATACTGAATATTAATACTCCTGCCTATAGGCTGTTTGTGTACATCCCAAATTATAAGTTGGGATGAATGATGGAATACAACAGCGTCATCTAATCATTTATCATTATGAATACAAGGGTAACGAGTTTAGGAATGACATAATGTAGGCCTACGGTACCAAATATTTAAATGAGAGAGGATTTTTAAATGTTGAAGTCTCATGAAAAAAAGTATTTTCTATTAAAAAAAAACCCAAAATATAAAATAATCACGATCTGAAATATTGTTGTCAAAGTTAAGCAGAGGTAGAAATATAAATCAAAGTATACATTACAAAGACTCAACTTGCTTCTTTTATAAACAACAATTGTTTTTTTTAAATACTTACCAGCCTGTTTACTACGAAAGCCTATTAGGGCCACTGAAATATATATTTTTATGTCGTAATTACGACATACGTATGTCGTAATTACGACTTATTATGTCGAAATTTCGACATAATATGTCGAAATTACGACTTATTATGTCGAAATTTCGACATACGTATGTCGTAATTACGACTTATTATGTCGAAATTACGACATAATATGTCGAAATCACGACTTATTATGTCGAAATTTCGACATTCGAAAAACAATAAACCCGAATCCGGGAAAGATGGAAGAAGTAAATCCGTGTTTGGCGTAATTCTTGGCACACGACAAAGGTGGCCGGAAAATGCGAATGAGACATGACTATAATATTATAGTTCAGTTATACAGGTATGCCCCAAAACAGGCACACGATGGTTGGCGGCCGAACCCGCCAAAATGGAAAAATTCTATGACCATAATTTTTACATCCGCCACCACATATGCCAATAAGCGCCCCAAACACCATAACTCGCACCTAAGAAAACAAAATACAACGTCTTTAAATAAAACTTGCATAAATAATGTATTCAACACCAAAACATAGTTAACATACTATGACTAACAATATAACGAAGTTAAAACTATCATAGACCTATGTCAATACATACATACGCCAACCTATAAGAAGAAAAGTGAACCAGGGAAGCCAAAAAGGAACCCTGATAGACTATGGGGGAATAGAATATAGTTAGACTAGCGGGGAAGGCCTAATATATTAACAAAGACATTGGAACGCCATCACCCCAATAAGCGAAATTGAGCATCCGAGAAATTAGAGAGGGCAGCGTGTGTGGCCCCCCATCCTATTCTGAAGCTATGGTCCTAAACAAGTCGGAACTTAGCCCACACATAGTTAACAATCTTAAACTACTTGCTCGAAGGTTACTCTAATGCAGACCTGGCCATATTTTAGAAGAAATAACCGTCCCGGGCGCCGCCCCTCTTACCACAACATAGGACGTACCGCAAACAACCCACAGGACAGAAAGCCCTGTTAGGAGCAGCCTTAACGGGAATAGTCTGAGCCCTCCCCCTGGTGTGTTTGCAGTCCCGAAACGAGACCAGGATCTCCGTGTGCACCCCGCCCACAAATTTAAACTGAATATCAGACAAAGCCAAAGCATGGGCATGAGACCGTAATTTGTGGTAGGAGCTCTCCTATCTACGCTAAACCATAAAAGACCAGAGTAAAATTCGAAGTAAAAGAAATGACTGCCATACTCGTCAAGTACCACTGTCGAAAGGGATCGACACAGGCGAAACAACAAAGCTGCAGTAATAGGTAAACGTGTACCAACACGCGACATAGCAGCACGGGCCCCAACCATCAAATGACGTACAATCACCGTTTTAGTCGGATCTGGCACCCAAAAAGAACTGTGGAAAAAGAAATGACCGAAAGATGGGAGGATAAGGTGCTAGCGGCGCGTCCAGGCGGTGTAGATGGGACAAAAACAGCAGCACTGATGTAGGGGAAGCTGATAGTATCTCTGATACCTGTAATACATCTTTAACAAAACTGCAAAATTGCTTCCACCCACGATTGTAGAATATATGCGAGTTATCACTCAATGAACGAATGAGAAGGTCCGTGGTAGCCTCAGCAAGCCCATGAATCTCTCGAGCCCTTTTACACGGTGAGGATGATCGTAAGAAGCTGGAAATGATTCCTTGAATCTAGAAATCAGTAGACGAGAAAGGAAATCGGCGAGGGTACATGTTCTGCCTTAAAATTAGGGTTCAAATTTAAACATGTTAACACCAACAATCTGAAAAAAAGCCATTAAATAAAAATCCCGAGAGGTTTGATTGTTAATAACTGAAACCAAAGCGGCATTATCGGTGAAGAATAAACCCGCTTATTCGCAAAAGAACGACCCCAAGTTTGCCCAGCTAAAACAATGGGAACGAACTCTAAAATGGCTATGTTTAACCTGGCCCTCACAATCTCCCCGGGCCAAGCTCCGAAAAACCAGGCATGTCGGTAAACAAAGGAGAGAGCACAAGATAACCAACAGTCGTCTAGAAAGAAGCTACGCCCATAAAGTTCTTCAAAAACATTAACCAAGTTCGTAGATCCTCCTTCGCACCATGAGAGAGCCTAACCATATGCCAAGGTGTTAAATATCACGAGATGGATCACACAGTGAACTGTAAAAACCCGACCAAAGGTTGAAGCTCTTTCAGCTTCACCTTCTTTCTACCCATAAAACAGGAAACCCTCCCCGCTGCGAGTTCAGAATTCAATTTTTTGTCGACAACCTGTGGAAGATCCAACGTGGAAACCAAGATAGTGCAATCTAGCCTTAAAGCTCCCCCACGAAAATGAATTCTACAAAACCCCTGTATCAAAAAACGAGCAGCAACCAGGTCGTAACTCCCAAGCATCCATTGAAGAGGCTCTGCCACAAGCTTTCCCTTTCAGAAAATAGAAACAAGGAGGGTGAGCTCCAGCGGCCAGATTGGGAGCCGACCCCACAGCCGAAGAATGCGAAAAATCACCCCCATCCCTTTAAACCAGGGAGAGCCTGAAGCATGAGCACCAGAAACCCTGGCCTTAGCTTCGTCCCACAGATCCCAAGGGATCTCATCCCAACAAGAAAAATCTCCCGCATCCTAAGTTTGCGAAAGATAGTATCGAAAAAATACCAGACGGCGTTTGACGCAGCAAGATTTCTAACCGAGTACATATACGAAAACAAATTGGGTAAGTTAACTGGGTTATCAGTCCCGACCCTTCGCACAATAACGATGCATAAACATGGTCCGGAATGTGTTCATCCAAGAATCGATGTAAATATAAAATCTAGTTTTTTATCCACCATATGCGGAACAAAAAATATCACCGGATGTACGCTTAAAACTCAGTTTCATCTCCACCCCCTGAACCTCATAGGGCTTATCCATAAGCAGATTCAAATCCACGTAACACCCTAGGAATATTTTCTTTCTAACCTCTTATCAACATTAGCCTATGCCCTAACGAAATGGATCTGGACAAAAAGGAGATAGAAAGAAGAAACTTTCTACGTTTCGATTCCACCTGGAAAATATATTTATTTATTTATAT